TACATAAGACACATAAAGGAGTTGAAGAATGTAAGGCCGGTCGATTCCCCTTTCTCAGTTAGTTTCAAACATGGTTCTGACAAAATCCACCAGAAATGTTTCATGTTTTTATTTACTAGACTCGTTAAGTCCACTATTGCAACAGTGTGAACTTCCCTAACGTGAACAACATCGTAGTACCAGTATCAGTAAGAGCGGAGTTTAGGAATATGACCCTCAACAGGGCAAAAGCTTTTTCGACCTCTAACAAGGCATTGCCGCTTAATACTTAGGTTTTTGCCAAAATGCGACTGATTGATGACAACCCGGTACATTCCAAATTATCCCCGCACTACATGGGAGCAGCCGATTTCGTCAAAAAGAAATCAGTGAGCTACTACGAAATGGCATCATCTGGCCCTCAAAGATACCTTTTGACAATCCGGCCTGGGCTGTTGACAAAAAAGGACCCCACGAAAACGGTAACAGAAATAAACGCTTCGACATTGATTTTAGGAAGTTAAACGAGCGAACGGTTGCCGATAAATACCCGTTGCCAAACATTCCCATGATATTAGCCAATCTGGGTAAGGCTAAATATTTCACAATATTTCGCTTGATCTAAGATCTGAATATCATCAAATTTATTTGGCCGAGCAGGATAGGGAAAAAACATCTTTCTCCGTAAATGGTGGAAAGTATGAATTCCGTCGATTACCGTTCGGATTGATAAACGCGAGAAGCATTTTTCAATGAGCGATCGACAACGTCCTGCGTGAACAAATTGGCAAGACATGATATGTTTACCTCGATGGCGTCATAATCTTCTCTGAAAACGAGAAAGATCACGTAGGTCATTGTGAGGCTAACATGAAAGTCGCCAAAGAGAAGACACAATTTTTCAAGGAGAATAAGTAAAAGCCATCCAAGAGTACCCGGAGCCAAAAACACTGTTCAAGCTGAGGTCATTTTTAGGATAAGCCAGTTACTACAGATGTTTCGTCAAAGATTTCGCTGCAGTTGCAAAGCCAATATCAAATGTGCTAAAAGGCGAAAACGGCTCCGTAAGCAAGCACATGTCTAAAAAGACTATCATCGAGTTTGATGATGTGCAAAGGGGCGCATTCGATCTAACGGCGGATGCTTCTGCATATGGTATCGGCGCGGTAATGTCACAAGAAGACAGGCCCACTACAATGATATCAAGAACTCTAAAATATATCGAAACGCATTTCGCAACAAACAAAAGGGAACTCTTGGCTATATTATGGGCGTTGGGTAAGTTGCAGCAATACCTGAACGGAACGCACGACATCACAATGTATACTGATCACCTGCCACTATCCTTCGCTGTGTCGGATAGAAACCCAAACACAAATATAACAAGTAAGAGGTTCTAGTCGGGAGCTCCCGACTAGGGGATACCCTGAACCCTCTTCTTCCAACACCCAATGCAGCTCGCACTACGCGCTCGTTCGCTTAAGTAGTAACAAAGAAACATTAAAATAAAAAAACTAATTGTTGCCTTGGCAGGGTTCGAACTCGCAACTAACCTCACCACTTGCCGATCCCTCTACTCACTAGCCACACAAATAATTGAGTCCCAATGAGAAAAAAAAACCAACTAAAATAGCAGCTCAGAAAACAATACAATCGCAATTGCAATGCTGTTGATAAAATTAAAAGCAGACGAATGTGTGTGTGTACATGTATACAGAAATTCTGGGAATTTGCGCTAGCTGCTGCTAACACGTGCGCACATAACGTTTGTGTTTCTTAACCGATCTTAATGAAATTTTACAGTCTTATTGTAGAAACTTATTGTAGAATAGAATATAGAATGCTTGTGTCTTCTCAAAAAGTCAATTGCATACATATTGTGGCTTAAAATGATGGGCAATACAAGTTGGATAATTAACGTGACTTATAGCTTTGTGGTGGTAGCGGGGAGGTGGCGATAGGTACAAAATGAAAGATACTTTATATATATATATACTATTCTAGAAGCTACATACATGTCAAGATTGGTGACTCCAGGTCTTATTATTTGCCGAAATTGCTCACAAAACAGGATTTCGATATCGACTTTTATCGCTTACTTGGAAACGGGGCAAGTTATCGAATATCGGAAATAAACTCGATCTGCGCGGCCACTAGGAGGACCTACAGCTCAAATTTCAAATCTCTAGCTTCTTGCGTTCATACATACGGACAGACGGATAGACGAACGGACGGATGGACAGACAGACGGACATGGCTAGATCGACTCGGCTGTTGATGCTGATCAAGAATATATATATCTTATGGTGGTGGAGACGCTTCCTTCTGCCTGTTACATATATTTGCATAACAACATTACACCCTTTTTAACCATTTTCAATGGTTTCAGAGTATAAAAAAAAAGTTCCATAGGTAGGGCTCGAACTCGCTACTAACCGCACTACTTACCGCCGTCTCTACCCAACAGCCACGCCAGCCAAAAAAAAAACCAATTTCCCCGGTAGGTTTCGAGCTTGCAACAGACCGGACTACTTTCAGCCGCTTTTACTCAACAGCCACACCCATTATTGAGTCTAGATGAGAAAAAAACGAATTAAAATAGCAGCACAGAAAACAATACAATCGCATTTGCAATGCTGTTAATAGAATTCAAAGAAAACGCGCTTGAATGTGTGCGTGTACATGTATACAGAAATTCTTGCAATTTGCACTAGTGCCGCAAACACGTGGGCAGCCGAAACACATAACTTTTGTGTTTCTTAATCGATCTTAATGAAATTTTCAGCAGATCTTATTGTACTATAAAATATTCGTCTATTCTCAAAATGACAATTGCATTTAAATTTTGGCTTATATTGATGGGCAGCGTAAATTGGTGTGATCACTTGATTTATAGCTTTGTGGTGGTAGCGGGGAGGTGGCGAAAGATATTTGATATATATATACTATTCTAGAAGCTCGTAAACGTGATTCATTGCGGGCTGCACACTTTAGCACTCCTACAAAACGAATTCGTTATAGCCTTCCCGGCAACCAAATTTTGGCACTTCAAAAATTTGATGACCGATGTCACTAACAGAACCGCACAAAGAGAAATAGTTATAGCTGAATATAGCCGCACCCATAGAGTGATGTAAAACAAAAGAATGTAAAACAAATTCTTGGCGATAACTATTTCACAAAAATGTCTAAACTAGTTACGGAGGTAATTGCAACTGTAAAGTCTGCACTCGAGCTAAATATGACAGACATCCCAAAAACAGGAACTAGGTATAGCACTGATACCATCATACGTGGGTGAAATGCTCCATATTGACGTTTTTTCGACAGACAAAAATCAGTTATTAACATGCATTGTACCATGATTCAGAACCTGATGCTTACTATCACACTTGCTAGCCGAGCCACTTGAAACCAATCACTGTTTTAGATGATGGTATCATAGTGGTAAGTAAGAGCCCTGCAAGGGTCAGTACAAACGAAGGGCCGGAAGTATCAATAAACGGCTCTTATCTGATTACATTCGAGCGTTCGGCCATGGTCAACAGCTTCAAATACATCAACCAGCGCGACTCCTTAATTAAGATGCCGGGTATTGCGGCTTGCCCTTTACTCAACATCATAAGCTACGGGCCGATACTTAGTTTGCCACTCGTGCACAGGATGAATTTTTAAAATCTTAATACCATACGAGGTTTGCAAGAAAGGATGGACGCCGTGGGATCTCCCAAGACGTGGTGTTCAGTGCCCTCATCTTCCTCCTTCAATAACATAGGAGGAAGCGAGCTTCGAAAGAGACTCAGAAGGTCGTCGGGAGCTTTAAGATGAACGAGGACGCCCATGTTTCAAAAGGGGGGAGTAGTTAACGAGTTTTCAAGCAAAACTTTGGCCAACAGTTGCGCGCATAATGCTGACACAGCGGATTCTTGGTGGCCAGTGCTCTCATAAAATGGGCAGCGTCGGTAACCTGAGCCCTTGCTTGTGTCGGAAGATCAGCGTTATCGCTTATGCTTAGTCGACTGTTGTTGCAAAAGCTCCATATAATAATTTGTATTCACCAGCCGCTGTGGCTTCTAGTTATTAAGATTCAGTTTTGTAACTGGCCGTAATACTTTCTCCGGCAGTTGGCCGTAAAATCGCATACTTATTATTTGACAAATTATTAATGAGCTCAAGGCCAATAATAAGAAAGCGAAGTCAAGCTTTCCACCATAATCGTCCTAAGAAGACATCCACATTCAATTACAACTCGACTGGACCAGCAGCCTGCTCAGAAGACGAACTGAACAGCAGCCTGCTCAGAGGACAAACTTATATATACTTTTTGGTGTCGGATAGGCTTCTTTCTATCTGTTACATACATGTGCACAAAAACATTATACCATTTTTACACATTATGTTATGTCGATTAAATGCGTATTTTCTCTATGAGTGGGATTTCCCGGGTTATACCTGAAGTCAAGAAGTCATTGGGATTGTATCTGTCGTGTAAAATTTTTGTTTAATAAAATTCACCTTCGTATAACATTTTGGACCAGCCTGAGCCCTTAACTGTGTTAGATTGAACACAAAACCATGTGTAGGAAGTTGACACATACATACCTATGTATGTGTATTTGTACACATAGATAGAACATCAAAATACATATTTTTATACATATATATGCACGCATAAGTATGTACAAGTTTGCGTAAAGGTGTATATGTAGACATTAACATATTCATACATATGTTTCAGATTTTTTATATAATAAGTGACATCCTTGCAATTTTTTGATTAAGAATCAAAAAAATATGTTCACTTTAAAATTATTAGACTGTGTACATAGAAGAGCTTTGCATAAGCAAACATGCGCATATCTTTGGGTGATGATAATATATACACCCATACATACAAAAGTATTTGTGTATATACATACATATGTATTTATAAATTCACATACATATGTGAATGTACTTGCGAGCATTCTGACTAGCTCTTAAATAAAACGAGTGAAAGAAAGTGCTTTGCAAAGCAAATATTCTTCAATCAAGAAGCAAGAGCATTGCATTGTGTCTGGTGCTAATATAAAAACAGATTACTGTCGGATATTTATTAATATAAAATATAAAAAATTGAGTTTAAAAGTTATAAAAACATTTTTAACTTAAAGAGCCTTACCAAAGCCTCCGTTTAGTACAAAAATGTTTTTCTCAGTGCTCTATAATAATACTGGAATATTATTCGTAGGAATAATCGCATCCTATATTTTTATATTATTTGACCGCCGGAAGAGAGCAATTAACAGAATCAGACAGTTAACTTTAAACAATTTTAAACGCAAAATTGTTCAAGCCCCTGGTCCGCATCCTTGGCCAATAATCGGAAACTTAGATATTGTCAGCAAATTTATTAATCCCTTCAAGGGGTTTGGAACATTGACAAAGCACTATGGGGATATTTACTCTTTAACCCTTGGTCAAACACGCTGTTTTGTCGTCAATAACTTGGAGTTAATAAAAGAAGTCCTAAATAAGAATGGAAAGTTTTTTGGAGGTCGACCAGATTATTTACGTTATCATAAGCTATTCGGAGGTGATCGAAATAACTGTAAGTCTTGCCATAAATTCTAATACCATAATGTACAGATATAAAATATATTCAACTATAGTTGATCTGCGTGTGTGTAATTTCTTACTATTAAAATAAATAGTCTTGAATATTCAACGATTAATAGAAAGTTTCCTAAGGTTCCTAAGTTTTGTAGAATGTTCGCCTAGCTTCCATCCAATTTTCTACTGTCCATATTCAATATACATATATTTATTTATCATTATATATAAGACTGTCTGTCCTGGCTGACTGATTGGTGATCAACGCAAAACCGTCAGAGCTGGGAAGCCGAAATTTTACCTATAAAGAAGGTTGTATGAAACATTTTTGTTTACCATTCGATCGGCCTCAAACCCACTTTCGATCTATGTTCAAATTTATTTGACGGGTGGCTCACACTTTCGAAAATCCACCCCTCCATGGTGGAAATGGGGGTCAAAGATTTGGTTTGTGATGTTTCGGGCTAGTTTCTAAGAATCTATATGTAAATCCAAACTTCTTCGTTTGTAATTTCGGATCAAAGTTTTTTTTGGTGATGTTTTAAATTTTGTCCGACTTACTTCAAACTTATATTCATAAGAAATTAATGAATAAATAAACCAGCGATATTGGATATACCATCCGAAACTGTGGTAAATTGACTGTTGTATGAAAGTTTTTTGTTTAGCTTCCGATCGGCTTGAAAATGTATCTGATACGTGTATCAGATTTTTCGCAAAATCTGCTCTTCTTGGAAAATGAATGCGGGTCAAAGGTTAAATAGGCGGAGTTTCGGGTGAAAGCTTATTCACAAGGATCTTTAAGAAAACTCATTTGAGACATGTATTACACTTTTTGCAAAATGTAGGCATCTTCGATGGAAATTATGGGTTCAAGATTTTGTGGGGGAAGCTCTAAGTTTCCTAAGATCGGTCTTAATTTTACTTTCAAAGCCAAACATAAGAATTTAATATATACATGATGTAGCGATTTTGGAAATTTCTTCCGTAACAGCGGTAAATTGGCGAGAAACTGTAGTATGACAGTTTTAAGTCTACCATCTGTTCGGCTTCAAAATAATATTTAAAGATATTTATGAAAATTCATTTGGGATGTGTTTCACACTTTTCGTAAAATCTGCCTCCTTGCGGATAAATTGTTACAACTGCGGGGAAAATTAATATCTTACCTTTTTGGCACAAAACTTGCAAGGGGCAAGGCCGGGTAACATCCGCAAGTATATAATATATCTCTATATATAAAACTGTTTGTCCTGACTGATCAACGCACTGCCCAACCACACGAGCTAAGAAGCTGAAATGTTTATTGTAGTTATTTTATGTAGTGGAGGTGCTTTGTATTACACTTTTCGGATTACCTATTCCTCTTCTATGCAAAATGGATATCAAGGATTTGGTCACTGAAATGTTGGGTTAAATCCATTCCAAAGCATCTTTATGAAAACTTACTTTAGGCTTGTTTCACATTTGGGAAAAATTCAACACTCGTCAACACTATTTGGCGATATTTAAAGTTTCGTCTGATCGACTTCAAACATACTTACAAAATCCAACACAATAAAGAAAGACGGGCATTCAATGGACTTCAATCAAATTATCAAAGAATGAACTCTCTAACACAGCTGTTACGTAAGCAACAAACTTCGATTAAAGGGAGTTTGAAATATTATGAAGTGCTTTTACTCAGTAGCAGTTGTTTAAGCTGCGTGCCCACACAAAGACAGACACATGATTTTTGTGGTTGTTTTTTTTTTCTTGTCGAAATCACATAATTTTTATACCCTGAACCCATTAAAAATGGGTAAGAAGGTTATAATGTATTTGTGCAAATGTATGTAGCAGGCAGAAAGAAGCATCTCCGACCCCATAAAGTATATATATTCTTGATCAGCATCAATAGCCGAGTCGATCTAGCCATGTCCGTCTGTCTGTCTGTCCGTCCGTCCGTATGTATGAACGCAAGGATATCAGAACCTATAAAAGCTAGAGACTTGAAATTTTAGCTGTAGGTCCTCCTAGTGCCCGCGCAGATCGAGTTTGTTTCCGATATTCGATAACTTGCCCCGTTTCAAAGTAATCGATAAAAATTTTGAGTAATTTTGGTAACTAATAAGGAGCTAGAGTTAGAGTTACCAAACTTGATATGATGCTTCTAGAAAAGTATATATTTATCAAGTATCTTTCATTTTATACCTATCGCCACCTCCCCGCTACCACCACAAAGCTATAAATCAAGTGAGAAAACCAATGCACGCTGCCCACCAATCGAAGCCAAAATTTAAATGCAATTGTCATTTTGAGAATACACGAATATTTTATAGTACAATAAGATCTGCTGATAATTTCATTAAGATCGGTTAAGAAACACAAAGTTATGTGTTTCGGCTGCCGCAAACACGGCAGCTAGCGCAAATTGCAAGAATTTCTGCAAACATGTACACGCATTCTGAATTCTATCAACACCCTTGCAAATGCGATTTTATTGTTTTCTTTGCTGCTATTTTAATTCGTTTTTTTCTCATCTAGACTCAATAATTGGTGTGGCTGTTGAGTAGAAGCGGCGGAAAGTATTCCGGTCTGCGTGGCTGTTGGGTAGAGGCGGCGGCAAGTATTGCGGTTAGTTGCGAGCTTGAACCCTGCCCAGGGAACTTTTGTTTTTTTTGTTTAATTTATCTTTATTACTACTAAAGCAAACGAGCGCGTAGCGCGATCTGCATTTGGTTTTGGAATAAGAGGGTTCAGGGTATCCCCTAGTCGGGAGCTCCCGACTAGAACATCTTACTTGTTAATATAATATATTCTATTTTAATTATATTTTTTGATATTGATCTAAAATTTTATACACAACACCATCTCTTAATTAAAATCTAGTTCATCTCTCGCTCTGATAAAACAAATCCCTGACTTCCGAAATTGTAGAATCTCTTATCTATTCTGTTAGCAGAAAAAGTCAAAATCTTTTGGCGTCGCACCTAAAACGTCTATTATGGAAAGATTGCAATATATTTTTCAGCTGATACTCCCGCCAGGACACTTTACGGCCGTCCATCGGATTATTTAATTGCCTTTCCGCTAACTATGACTTTCACTACGGTTTCCACTATGATTCTCACTACAGTTATTACTATGATTCTCACTACATTTAACGCTGTGATTCTCACTACAGTTATCACAAGAATTCTTAATACGGTTATCCCTATTCGATTTGTCGACTAATTCTGTAAGATGTTTAAATGCGATATATTGCTAGCAGGTCAGTGTGCAATACCAACGAGTAATTCATGGGTTAAAAGCTTTTCGTCTAAGCGTCTGTACCAAAAAATTATAGTCTGTTTTTATTTTAGAAACTCTATGTAATATATTTAGTTTAAAACGGCACAATGCATACTTGATGGCATGGGTTTCCGACTCGAAGCTGTGATATCAGGATTAAGCTGCTGTGGGCTTGCCCGCAAAAAAAGCTACAGTATCTATTTTGCAAAAAGTTCCGTTTCCATGTTTGGGCTGAATTTTGCCAATACCGGCAGATTTGCCATTAAACGCATTTAATTGTTATTTGTAAAGAGGGAACGGACCCCATTATAATAACTCTGTCAATGGTCGGGGTATGCTAGCTAATGAAAGTATGAATCTTCGGGCGTCCGATCAAAATCCCAAACATTAATGAAGACTTTTGATTTTGAGACACTGGATATTCTCTCAGAACTTCTCTATATCTCAACAACTCACATTCCCTCTCCAAAAATATGAATTTCCAAAGGATTATTTCTAACTTGTATTCCGAAATCCGGTCTAGTAATTTTCCTAAAATGTATACAGTTGCTGTCGCTGTTACTATGTCATATACGCTACTATTTTCTTAGTTTGAACATTTCTTATTTTCTTAATATTCCGAAATATCTTTGATAAAGAAAAGTGGAAAATTGTCTATAACCGTAAACTTATTGAGAGACGATAATCAACGCACAGGCGGATTTCTCCTGAAATTTCTCCAGCCGCTTCTCGCCCAAAGTATACTCAAATTTTAAGAGTTTTATCAACATCCATTTCCATTAACCCTACACAAAAATTAAAAATTAAAAATACTTTGATCGCAATATTTGGTAATATCGCCAAGGCCTTGCGTCAGTGGATTAATATTTGGTGAGGGTTGATTAGGTATATAAAATATACTATTTTTAGAAGTATTGGTAAAAAGGATGATTGGTTAGTTGTGTTCATTTGATATCACTCTCGTCTTTGGCAATTTTGCGAAACTTAAGCTGTTGGCCCGCATCTCACGACGTTACTTTCTGCAGAACCGTATTTAAGTATGTGTGAAATGTGCTGATCCAGATAACAGGCGCTTGGCATTTAGAAATTGTTGTATTGCCGATATATTGTATGCTTCACTGACCTCTTATTCTGTCGTATTCGAATTCGGTTAAGGTAGTTGTCACCCGAAATTTTTTTTTCTTTACACATGAAAAATTATTTTATTTTATATAATTTAAAAACGAACTTTGTGGTGGCTTTAAAGGCAGATTATGCGTTTCGTGCTCATTGCTTTGTTATAATTCTACCACTAACTTCTTAAGCCTACATTAAGGTAAGGCGGCTAAGTGAGGCTAATTCGCTCCCAGTGTGATAAAGCTTTATTGCGCTCTCGCTCCACCCTAAACCTAACTTGCATTTGACTTAAAGTTTTAAATTCATTTTCTGAAGCAATGCGCGGGTCTGCGCCAACACCGGCCACCATGAAGCGCTTGGGGGCTGCATTCAACAGGACCCGAGCCAACTTGTGGATCGGCCTTTAAAATTTTCCGCTACTGGCCGTCCTTATTTCTGCCACTCTAACGACGCCGTCTTCTTCTGCGTGCACCGCCTAGACTCTCCCGATCAGCCACTGATGGGGCGGCAGATTGTCCCCGGCGACGTTTGGCAGGCGATAATGCCACTTGCTCCGCAGACCTCCTGAGCGTTAATTAGGAATCTAATAAAGCTTCTAGCGAATCGCAA